TTAGGAACATATTTCTTCTCTCTCACATTCTAAACTTCTTATAATTTGCCACTGCTAAAATGAGAGTCAGAGAGACACTGAGGTGTAAATACACACATCTCTGTCACTACTGCAAGAAATGTAAAAGCTTTATATATTCAGAGTTTTCAGATATTGGAAATTATAATAGAGCATTATCATGGAAATCCTAAAGCTAAAGCAACCTTTTACAATTTAACTTCTATATTCCGTACTCTCCAAACTTCCCCTCTAGTCCTCACTCCTGAGCATAAAAAGAGAGACAGACAGATTCAGCCTGGAAGAATTTATTGGAATCCTGAGCAGAAAGTGCTAAAGAAAAAATAAGTTCACATCTGGATGGTACTTTAGTAGGTTCTAAAAGAAGTCTATTCTGAGTAACAATTGTTAAAAAAACAAAGAAAACAAATAAAAACAAAGATCTAAGAGCTATGGACTCTAGGATGAAAATGGGCACCCATAGACATAACCACTGCACCGCCTTTATTCCATTTCCTTCCACACCCCTCTTCTGTCCATCTTTCCCCCCACAAGTACTTCTTCCCATGCCAGTCTGAAGAACAGAGCAGAGTGAGAAGCTACATGTGATAAGATGTACAGAGCCACAGATGAGATGACAGAGGGGCAGGCATGAAGTGAAGGATGTAGAGGGAGAGATAAGGGTACTGAAATAACATACATGCTGTCTGGTGCCTTTTGTAAATAAAAATATTGAAAATAACTTTCCACTAGGGCCTCATAGAGCTACAGAGATGCCTGGGCGGCTTCACTTTTGGGGATGGAAGTCTCCAAATGAAGGAATTTCTAAACTTCATCAGAAAATTTAAAGCATATTTTCAACATTTACAATTAAAAATTAAAGTTGAATGTTGAATGTATTTGGCTTTCAATCCTGTCTGTGTATCACTGGGGAAACTTGTAGAACTTCATTTCAAAATAAGGCTAAATTTATGGTCCTTTATGAATGTAAGGTACAACCAATGAGTTCTCCTTTCTCTCACGTGCTCTTGTTCATATTCAGAGATAGGTCAAACTTTTCTTAAAGGGAAAGAGAAAATATATGAAAGAGGGAAGCTAAAGAAAAAGGAAAAAGAGGAGGAGGAGGAAGCAAAATACAGACACAATACATGATGTGGATGACCTGTCATGGATTTATGAGTAGAAAACGATATAGAGATTAATAAAATAATATTTGTTAGGTGACAATTGAAACCCTTGGTACTGTTGATGGTACGAAATAAAAGGTCAATATTTGCTCCCTGGCCTGAAATGGCTTCTAGCAAGAGAAAAAAAAACTAACCTACTTCAAACAGAGGACCAGTCTAAAATCTGCTAGTAACTATACATACAATAAGATTTGGGGGAAAGGAGAAGTTAAAACAAGTGACCAAGTTTCTCCATTTGTAAAATTGAAAATAGTAATACAGCCTATCTTTGAGTATTATTTCAGTATTACTGGTATAGCATTTAGCCAAGTGCTTCAGAGTAAGCATCTATTACTATTGCTTATTAACTCATTAAAATGTATAAAAAGATATAAAGTCCCTTGATAAATGGGGAAAAGGCTATCAAAAGAAATTTTACATAATAAATACAAATTATAGTAACTATGGTATACCATTTAATAGTTACTAAATTATCAATGGGATGAAAACTACACAATTTTTCAAAGTTATGATTAACCTGACCATTTTCTTGCTAAGTACAAAAACATACAGACTCCTTGGGTGAGCACTATGGCAATCCATGACAGTCTTTAAAAAATGTCATGCAATTTAATCAAATAATCCAGGCTTAGAATTTATCTTAAGAAAATATAAAAGAAAAATTGACAAGCAGTGGGAGGTTTACTGCAATTATAACTATTTTAGTATAAAACTGGAATCAACTTAAAAATAAAATAAAAGAAGAGTGCAGGAATGGTTTGGTATATTCCAGTCCCATTAACATGGTGGGATATTATATGTTATTAAACATGGTGACTATATCTACTATGTTCAATTTGTAAAGTGTTTATAATAAAAACAAAAACAAACCCCACAAATAATAAAAAATAAAATTATGGAACAATATGGATCAAATTTAAAGACTTCTGGTCACTGAGAACTTTCATCAGCAAGGTAATTAGACAGTGAGAGACTTGGAGGAGATATTTGCAAAGTCTAAAGCTGACAAGGTATTACTACCTAGGGTATATTAGGAGTTCTCTCAAAAAAAAAAAAAGTGAGAAACTCAATAAAAAATAGAGTTCATGCATAGGCAAGTCTCAGAATTCAGAACCTGACTGACTCTAAATGGATGAAGTGATGCTCAACTGAAATACCAATCAGAGAAATAAAAATAAATGCAACACTGAAGTAATGCTCTGTAGCCATTAACTTGCAAAACTGAGAGTTATATAATGCCACATGCTGATGAGATTATGGCGAGACAGGATCCCTTCTGCATTGCAGAGAGAGTGCAAATGGATGCACTCATTCAGGAGAAAGTCTGCAGCAGCACTCAATGGATTTATAAATGTGTGTACCTTGACACCAAGCAATCCTTCACTCCTGGGACTATACTCCAGAGAGAATTCCTAACAGGTTTGTAAGGAGACATACACGTGTGGTTTATTGCAATGTTGTTTGAGATGGAAGAGTTAGGGACAATTTAGGTGTCCACTCCTGGGGGACTGACTAAGTAAAATTTGGTGCATGTACACAATAGCAAAATGAGCAGGAGATGGAAGAAATGAATTCATTTTAAGTACATTCTTAAGTATAGATAGATATCCAACACTAACACTGAATGAAAGTAGTAAGAAACAAAATGAGGTTTATAACACAAAAAGGCTTATGCAATTTAGAACACATTCCCCTACTCACAACTACACACTATTTTCTAGAATGCCACACATATAGCCAAATAAATAGATGGAGAGTGGATTTGATGAACACTCATTCTACAGGGGATTGAAGTGAGGATTGGAGACTGAGAATAAAATAAAACCAGCTAGGGGTCTTGCCCAGAATGATGATAATACAAGGCCACACACTGAAGAGTATAAACAACTCAATTCTGTGCACCTGAGGTTAAAAAAACAAAAAAAGGAAAACTAAAATTTATATAACTCTAAGTGAAAAAAGATGAAAGAATGCATAGTGGTATGCAAACTGATTGAAATAACAATAAAACAGAGCACAAACTAATGTTTATATGAATTTAAACTAGAACACAGAAATGGTATGCCAACTGATTAAAGTAACAACAAATAAAACAAATACAAAAGGGTATACACGCTGATGGAAACTATCTAAAAATATATTCATGTGAGTTGGTTAGGAAAAGGGACTATTCTACTCCTCTGCTTTTTCTTGACACTACCTTCTAGGAAAAAAATTTATAAGGATGGTTTATTGATGGCTTATAGGCAAGGACACTTGACAAAACCACCATGCTGGGGCATCGTCTTGTTTTCTTGAAATTCCTTTTAGGATCCGCTCCTCTTCCTTGTATAAGGCTGGAGGGTGAGAGTGACTAAAGCTGTCACCTCCTCTTTCCTACGAAGCCCCAATGAAGGCCTGCAGTGATAACACAGACAAGACCTTGGGTCCTTTTCTGTCCCTCTTTGGACTTTTTGTCCACTTGGCTGGTAAGGTAAGAAAGGGTCCTGACTTATTCATCTGGGGAAGAGTCATCACTGCACCCTCCACACACCTTCCGTGAGCTGATACAATTGAAAGTGAGGTCAGGGGAAAAGGAGGACACTAGGTTGGGTTAGTCAAAGTCAAAGAATCCCTCCTGTTGACCTTTCAGAACCCAAATCACTAAGCTAGGTTCTCCACTGGGGTGGGGACTAGCCTAGTCTCTTAAACTAGCCTTGCATTTGATCTTATCTCCTGTGCATCTCCCTCCTGGACCCTTCAAGGGAGGGTGGCTGCAGGGTAACTGCAAAGGAAGTCTAGCAGAGGGTTCGAGGCCCTGTCCACTGTCCCAGAATAAGACACAATATGGACATAAAATAGCGCTTGTTCTTTAAAATTGAAATAGCTGCTTTATGCAGTGGAATAACGAATGATAGTTTTCTCCAATTTTACCTCTCTTAAATAAATGTATACATACTCCATTATAGACAGCAAACAAAAGCATACTTCATTCTCTAGTGTTGGCCAGAGTGCTATTCTAGTAATGAATTGTGTTATACAATTAACAAATGTCCCATTGTGTAGCTAATTAGTACATTTATCCTTTACAGTTTTAACTGTTAGTAATACAGTCCTGAGTAAATGCCTTGTCTCCCAAGCTAAATATATAATAGGACCTACGTGGGAAATAGCAAAAATTCTGAAATGGAGATGATTATTTCTAAATATCCCACACATGCAAAATGTCTAGCATCTTTCTCTACCCTCTTATGGATCTTCTTTTTTCCTTCAAAGTTTTTGTTATTGTTATTGCCTGAGGAAAAATACCTTTTCTCATTTCTCTCACCTACTCTGAGGTCATCTTCACCTCCAAAAGCAGTAACTTCCAACTTTTTATCTAACAGATGATTTTATTTTCCTTTTACTTTTCTCAAATGATTTTTATTTGAGCAACAAAAGTATTTCAAATCCTCCATCACTCAAAAAATTACACTCCCAATGTATTGCAGGGAGATTATTATAACTGCAAAATAAATCCATTCATCCCCTAATCTGTTAATCCTAGAAATCAAGACCCATTATCTTATTTCTTTGTTTTTTTTTATTTTTAAGATTTCAAGTCCCAGGAGGACAAGAACCATATCATTTATATATTCTGTGCAGCAATATAGAAAGTAGTGCTTTATTGGAAATCTATAATTATATTAAAAATAGTGTTGATCATAGTGACAGCAGAGGGAAATACTCTAGTTTTGTACCATAGGGCCTTCCTTTCCAAACAATAGCAGTGACATAAATTGAGGAGACGGGGAACTAGCATAGTTATATAAAAGTGAATTAAAGAACTTTCATTACCTTAGTTTCTTTCCTCCATCTGCAATTTTAGCTTTTTGAAGATAACCTTCTTTTTCAACCATCTGCAATAAGAATGCATACGTTAAAACTGTGACAAACTCCTATGCACTATTAGTTTGAGTGAACCTATGCTTTCCAAGAGTCATTGCAGTGATGGAAGTTTCCAGTCATAGAACTTCATTAATAATGCATATATAGCTTATGGGAAGTGCCTGCACGATCATAGTCATTACAAGCCGTTAAATATCCAAAAGAAAGATTACAAAGAGTAATGTGAATGATTTGTTAGATAGTGATACACCTTTACTCACTTTCCTTTCTGGGCATTGAAGTCACTTGCTTACAGAATTGATTAACAATGGTAAGACAAAGACAAATTTAATGCCTTCCTTAATTATACCGATCATCCTTGAAAAAGTTTTTTTTTTCCCCTCCTCATCGCACTTCCACATGTACCTGCTGAGGCCTGGAAGTGAGAAGAATTCAATGGGACCAGGTAACTGAGCCAGTTGAACCATGGAAGTGAGATGGTTTAAAAAGTGACAGTTCATGCGTTTCATTCAGTTACCAAAAGATGCTGTAGAAACACTACCTCATTATCTTCTTCCGTGATGTGGGCTTGCTGCCTATTAGTATTTATGGGCTTTCATTGCTAATACAGCTGCATGTTTCTTAAGGAGATTCAACAATTCGTTATAACTCCACAGAGTTTTTTGTGGAATTCTAGGCTAAATAAATGCACAATGCATATTGTGATGTGTTGACTCCCAGCAAAGTCTATAATAGGTGTTTTCATTCTGTAGCTCCCTATTTCTACCTTCTACTATTTGTCCCACACCCCTAACCCAAGTCCTTATCCTGTGTTCCATCTTTTCACTCTTGGTGAATTGCTGACATCCTTCTCCCCCGTGCTACATGCTAAAAGCCTTAAGAAGTCACCTGCCCAATATTGAAGGGCCACACTCTCTCAGTGCCACCACATATGCTTTCCCCTGACTGTACTGCTCTACCTCCACCACAGCTCCGTCTCACAGACTCCTAAATAAATTACATCCACTTTAAAATGCAATTTGTCTCTTATTAGAGAGTCCTTCCTTGATTCCCCTGCAGTGTCTTTTAGGTGCCCCTGTCCTGAATCTCCATTTTCATCCTGCCATGATCACTATCACAGCACTTTTTGGCTCCTATTGTAATTGTCCACTTATTTGGTTGTGTCTGCACCTGTGCTGCCACTCCACCTTTCACACCTGGATTCCCAGCACCTAGAGTACTTGCTAGCACCAATAGCCACAATAATACACAATTGAACAAATGAGTGGGCGAATGAAGGAATATTTAAATACTTATTTAAATCTTTATAGGAAACTGGACAAGCCTCACAAAAAATCCATCTGCATTATGACAGGTGAAAGGAGGAGATATTTGGGGGTCAAAGAGTTACCCCAAACAACTATAATTTCATCAGTTAAAGAATTGGCTATTTACAAGATTCACTCTGATATACATGAGATCTTTTCTGACTCATTAATTATTATATTCCTAATACATAGCACAGTGCTTAGCTTTCAAAATACATTTGATGAATACATTTTTGAATAAATAATGATGAAGATAATAATGATGATTTATGATAATCATAGCAAAGTATTTTTCACACATCAACATTTCCAGAAAAATTCTTTTACTTTACCATGTTCTCCACAAGTACAAAAGAGTCTAAGGAAGCTTTCTTGGATAATTTTTATAGTCACGGTGTTCAATAGTGCCTTTTCTGTATTTGAGTACCTCTATTTATTTGCTTTTCCCACCTTTTATTCTATGTATACTCTCACTTTTTCTTGGTGCCGGGAAATCTTATTTGTGTACCCCTAAAACAAGTATAATAAGTTCAGTGTTTAACCCTGGGCATCTCTGGTTTCTACAAATGTTTGGAAGAAAGATGTTTTCAGTAGCAATTAACATCACAGATGAGGTCCTTTTCTTTAGGAACGTATATTGAGAAATTTTGTTGTGTAATCATAGACAAAATTCATTGTCTTACTTGAGCTTTCTTCTGATGAAAATAAAATAATTACTAAAAGCTTGAATTTATCTACCAAAAAGCTACAAAACCTCTCAACCCTCATAAAAATTGGTGCATACATTCTCAGCTAAGAATATTGCTTTTTTCCCCAAAAAATTTACTAAACTCGGTGGACACTTAGTACCCAGAGGTGTGTTGTTGATGATCATTTCTCTAAAAAGAGTAGGGAAATATGACAAGAAAAAGCTAATACTCTTGCAGGGAGAAATCAACATAAGCAAATCCTCTCCCCTTGAATACATAAGTAATTTCCTCCAAACACTGCTGGCCCTCCAAGATACCAGAGATTGAGGCCAGGGGCTAGATTTCTCATGTCAGGACTCTATAAATGTGACATCATGCCATCAAACATGCTGAGCCGGTCCCCATGGTCTTGAGTCAATGCAGTAGAGTTACCAGGCACCACCGTACAGAGGCCCCAGGAAAAGGAAGGAGGAAGAGGTGAATAGCAAGTCAGTTATCTTCTCATATATCATCTTCCAGAGCCCAGATTGCCTTCCAGGTCATTAGAAGAAGCTAATAAGCCTTCTATGATGTATTCTTACCTACTATTCTTACTACTACCACGCATATTTTTATATATCTACATGTACCTGCATGCACATTTCTACATGTAGCTATATACATGTACAACCATCAGGTACAACCAACATATTCCCACTTCTGAGATCAGGTGTTCATTTTTCTTCATTGTCTCTTCCATACTTGATGTACACTCATTCATTCTAGCAACAAATTTTCAACTAGTAGCACCTCTTTCCCCTAAATGCCAGCTACTCTGCTCACAGTGAGACTGCAAAGGTTAATAGGACAGTCTTAATCTTATTGAGGCTTACACCCTTGTCAGCTGACATTCAAGATACTCCTGTTCCTCATTTTTTAGTGACTGTCTATGATACTCCCCTCTAGACATCTCAGAGATTCAGGCCAGCTTTTGCTCTGGAATAGAAAACTCCAATCAGGCTTCCTACACTGAAAGCACTGTATTATTTTAAGTCTCATGCTGGCAAGCAAAGCTTCCATGAGGTATATTTACTATTTCTTATTTTATTCCTTATCATACTTTGAAATATCTCATCATGTCCCAGGCACTAGGTATCAGTTATTCTGGGAGGCTCATAGGAGCTAAAAGAAGTATTATTAGGGCAACCAGAAGATTGCTATGTATTTTGTATGTGGGTTTGCATATGGTACCTTATCAATTATTTTAATTACTGATTTCTACTTTATGTTAATGCCATGGTCTGAAGGGACAATGATCTATAAGTTATGTTCGAGCATGCTGGTCATCTAGGACTCAGATGGTCTTGTCTCTAGTAATTTACAAAATTATATACAGCTTTAGGTCTAAGTTTAGGGTACTACATGCCAAGTTCTAGGCCAATTTGAGCTCTTTAAAGTAGTAGCACTTTCTAAACTATGTACACTTAAGAAATGTCAACCAATCTTTAGATGCTGAATCTGGCTTCTTGAGTATTTGTCCAATGTCCTTAGAAGCCCTGTTTAATGTTAAGTGGCAAGAAAGATCAGCAATTTGTCCAGGTTGGATGCCAGCCAGTCTGCCAGCATTGAGGAAGTACTCAGCAGACACAACAGTGCTGAGATACAGATGAAAAGAATGAATGACAGTGGGACATCCAGATAGCATCTGTTTACCAACCTAAGTTGGAGGGGATAGACAAGGCAGGAGAGTGGAAGACAACTTTTGATTAATGGTAACAATCATGGTGGAAAGATCAGTCTGTAACTGTAAGTACAGATACTGCAATTTTTTATGTGAAGGCTTTACATCATTCTCAGATAAAAGAAGTAGAATTGAAAACAATAGGTTTTCATCTACACCAGTCTACCAAGAATTCTGTCAAAATACATGTTTATGAATGGAAATGAACTGAATCTAAGACTTTCACCAGATTTTAATGAGAAGGGATTGACTTTTAACGCCAGAACCCCACAGCCCTTGTGCCTTGCTCTGCTGATGTACTTAGGTTATTTTTCTTTTCCCCTTTGTTCTGATTCTGTATTCATTGACAACCGTCTGACTCCTAATTCAGCGTCCTAGGTCCTTTGATGTAGAATGTGGGTGACTTAAATAGTCAGCATCAGCATATCCCCCACTATAAATTTATAAATCAGAATTATAGTTTATACATCAGACTCTTACACATTTGGTTACCGTGAGATAGTCCCAAGGGATCATCATCATCATAAGCGCTGATAATAATGATAAATATAATTTTTTTCTAGATCCACAAAACTGAGACAGGCCCTAGCCCTGAAGTGGAGTGAGCCCTCCTAAGTAATGTCACACTGTGAAACTTTCTGTATGACTAACTAACTTTCCCCTAGGAGAACTTTGCATCATCTCTCTATAACTACAACCCTGGGCTACTATAATTTTCACACACATTTAACATTTAATTATTTTACTATTTAATAAAGAGGAATCTGCTATATTTTTTCTGAAATTTTAATAGACCACAGTACTTGCTGATAATCTTGTTTGTTCAGATGATTTCCATTAAAAAGCACAGAATGAGGACACATCTGTTTATATCATTTTATCCCCAAATGATGCTTCTCTTTCTTTTTTAAATCTCTTCTTTACTTCTCCCCTACCCACATAAAAAGACATTTCTGTCTTCTTTCCATTAGCTTTCTTTTTTTAATTGATTATTTTCCTATTTTTCAAATAAAAATTGTATTTATTTAAGGTGAACAACATAACGTTTTGATACACATACACATAGTGAATGATTACTACAATCAAGCTACTTAACACATCCATCTCCTCACATAGTTACCTTTTTTTATCTTTCTTGTGGTGACAGCACCTGAGATCTACTCTCTTAGCAAATTTCCAGTATACCATACAGTATTATTAGCTATGATCATGCTGTATATTAGGTCTTCAGAACTTATTCATGCTACCTATCTCCATTGGCTTTCCTTCTTGTGACATTGTCTTCAGGTGGCACT